ACAATGCCATGAAATGGATAAAGCTGATAAAGAATTTATTCCAAAAGGGTTTATAAAAAAATAAAAATTATATACTTTTTATAAAGTGTATGCGAATAATCCGAGAATCTGAGCGTCTTAGAAGCATTTGCGATGAACGATTCCTGAACCTGATTCATCATATTCTTGTTTAGTGATCCACATCTGCTGGAAGGTGGACAAGGAAGCAAGAATGGAGCCTCCAATCCATACTGAATACTTACGTTCTGGTGGGGCCACAATTTTGATCTTCATTGTGCTGGGAGCCAGAGCAGAAATTTCTTTTTGCATTCGATCTGAGATACCCGGATACATTGTAGAACCACCAGAGAGTACTGTGTTGGCGTAAAGATCCTTACGAATGTCGACATCACACTTCATAATAGAGTTGTATGCGGTCTCGTGAATACCACTCGATTCCATGCCCAGGAAACTGGGCTGGAAGAGGGACTCAGGGCAACGGAAGCGCTCATTGCCGATGGTTATTACTTGTCCGTCAGGCAACTCGTAACTCTTTTCCAAAGAGGAACTCTGCGCAGCCGTGCTCATCTCTTGGTCGAAGTCTAAGGCAACATAGCATAGTTTCTCTTTGATATCACGCACAATCTCACGCTCAGCCGTGGTCGTGAAACTATAGCCACGTTCAGTAAGGATTTTCATCAAGTAATCGGTCAAATCACGTCCAGCAAGGTCAAGACGCAATATGGCGTGTGGCAGAGCGTACCCTTCGTATATAGGCACGGTATGAGAGACGCCATCACCGGAGTCGAGCACAATACCAGTGGTACGACCCGAGGCATATAGTGACAGAACGGCTTGAATGGCCACGTACATAGCGGGCACGTTGAATGTCTCGAACATAATCTGGGTCATTTTTTCCCGATTCGCTTTCGGGTTCAGAGGTGCCTCAGTCAAAAGAACCGGATGCTCCTCGGGAGCCACACGCAACTCATTATAGAACGTATGATGCCAGATTTTCTCCATGTCATCCCAGTTTGTGACTATACCATGCTCAATCGGGTATTTCAGCGTAAGGATACCTCGTTTAGACTGGGCCTCGTCTCCA